AAGGTTTTGCTTTTAAAACTCCTGTTTCTTCTCAAAGATGTAAAAACTGAAGGCCTTAATTCTAAGATTTCCAGGTACCTTAGCATGCTTGATTTATTGGTATTTAATGAAAGATGTAACAAAATATTTACTGTGTATGCATCAGCACACCTGGAATGAAGTGCATTGCTCATTACAACTTTTCAATTGAAATAAATTTGTTAGATTACGTCGTGTCGCCTTAGTTTGTGTGCATATGTTCAAATGCATGCAAATGGCTGAGCACTGAGGTGGAGTAATATGCAAATTCATAATAACAAGAGAACATGATTAAATTTACTCAAACAGCCAGAATACTGCACACGTGCAGTTTAGCGTGTTCAAGAAAGTGCACAAAGAGTCGTGTTCGTCTGCTGCGCCCGTCATTGCAGACATTACTTGTTGAAACTGTCAGTTCACGAAACCTCCCAGCAACAAGGCAGCTGGGTTTAAAAAAAGAGAAAATTATTCATTTGTTTCTCCCTTTAACCTCTGGGTGTCCTTCAAGAAATAAATTGTTTTTCTGGGTGTGAGAGAAACAAATCTTCAGCATTAGTGGGAGAAGGGAATAACACTTGTATGTGAGGCCTGGAGCTATTTTGTCTCATTGCTTTTCTCGTTGAGACGGAGCCTTCTTTAATGGAACAATCACTTGCACTTGTAAGATTGCAAAAGCAGAAACTAATTGGGGCTATTTTGGAACGTCTTCACTTGCTGGGTAAAAAATAGAACTTGGTCTCCAGGTTTCAAAGCGTTTAAACTCATCCCTGGAAAAAGGCCGACGCAAACGTGAAGTTGTGTCAGTGGCGATGTTTTAATCTTCAGACTCACAGTCCTGATGCTTTAAATTGTGCAAAAACATGCTAAGAAAAACATTATTTCAATAATAATAATTACATGTATATAATATTTAATATTTTAATATCATAGTTTCAATTTTCAGGTCTCTCTTGTTAAAAAGTCCTCGTGGCTCAACGGGACTAACCTGTTTAAATAAAGGTTGAATGAATGAATAATTGCATGTAAATGACACTTCAGTTTTCTAAGTAACTTTAAATTGTGCCAACTTGAGGACATTGTTTAAAGTCGAGCTTTCAAGGACATCATTTATTAATTACCGTACTTGGCACCGTACACGTCGCACCGCCGTAAAAGTCGCATCGGTCCAAATCCGTCTAATAAAGTAGAAAAAACATAAACACTAGTCACTTCTATTATGCGTCGCCGCTGACCACCCAGAAACATGGGCCGGTGTTGTGCCAAAAATAAATTGGCTGCCAAATGGCGGCTGCGGGAGTGTGCACTGGAGGACTTTCACAAGAATTTAACAAGATTTACACTTAAAAACATTTATTTGTTTGCTCGACATTATAGTAAAGGTGCGTCTCAGTTTAACGTTTACTTGATAAACTTTAACAGTCAAATCAGCTGCATTTCACCTGGGCGGCGCTGTGAAATGCAGCTGACTTGACGTTTGTTCCAGGAGTTCCGAAGCGAGACGAAGGTGACCGTATGGCAAGGCAAGTGTCTCATTAATAGCCATTTTTACCTGTTAATGAGACACTTGGCTTGCCGTATTAGTCTAGGCCCCTCTAGCAGCTGGAAATGGTAGTGTTCAATAATTTCCATGTCAAAATGAATGAAATTGTCAGATCTCAGCCAAAAATTGGGTTATAAATATGGAAATAAAAACATAAATAAGTCACTTTGCTGTATAAGTGGCAGGACATGCTAATTTATGCACAAAGATACGACTTATATAGTGAAAACTACGGTAATCGCACATCATTAGTTCAGTTATATTTATTGTAATCACTTGCTGATCTTTCCTCCTTTTATGTAAGAAACCAGAAGCACTTAGTTAAACGCTGCACCGTGTAGAACCTGCCTGTTTACGTAACCATACTGCGCTGTCTATTTTTAACAATATGGATGCAATCACACAGTGCTTCTCTTCCTACAACATTGTGGAGGAGCTCAAGAGTTTTTTTTTATCTTTTTGGATGACAAATCACAGCTGCTGCAGAACACCAAGGCTCAAAACCCCAACTGAGTGACGGTCTGTCACTCGCCACACCAAGTCTGCCTCTCCTTAATTTACTCCTTTGCACGTTTTAGCATCCTCTCTATTTTGTCTTTTCCGTTTTGTTTTCGCTTCATGATATCAAACTTTGTTTCTTTCACAGTCATGCTACTTCTTAAGCAAGGTTGAATTTATTAAGTTTCGTCTTCTCATCTGTTCCTCCTGGCTGCAGCTCTCATACCTTCCCTTCTTTGCCTCATCGTATTCAGCCCATCTGTCTTTTTACCTTTTGGCAGACTTGAATATTTCTATATTAAGGCTCTGCTGAGCCAAGACCTGGTTGTCATGACACAGAAAGAGAGGAATACTGACTCTGGAGCCATGTAAACACTAACGCCAAGTTGTGGAATGAATGCAGGGTAACGGTAATTATCCCATTTAGTGAAGGTGACAATTTAAGCTGACAATTTAAGAAGATATAAACGTGCTGTATAAGGCGCTCACACGAAGCAGTGAAAATAAGGTTAAGTTAGTTGGTCTGTTTGGCCATCGCCTCCTGTGCGCCACCTTACAACTTCCAGTCGGCTTGATTCACAGGGCAATAATTTCACTGTGACCAGTGGCACCATATGTCCCACATAACCACGGATTGAGTCTTCCAGCCTGCTCATGAAACACAATGTGACAGGCCGTTTGTGGGCTCTGGGTTTGTTTACCTCAGCTGCGTGTTTCACTCCCTGCTGTGCCACTTGACTCATACCCCTCAGCCAGAAGGAGCACCTCACTGGGCCTGTAGCAAAAGCTGGTGGGTAGGTGTCGAGGGCCGGAGGGAGCAGATGACTCACCAGTACCAGGAAGCCACGGTGGTGACAGAAGGTGCTCTACATGCTGAGACGAGAGCAGACTTTAACTGCTGCTTATAAAAAAGTTTAAATTCTGTCGCCATCACCGACGGGACACCGATCAGTTCCAAAAGTCTGGAACTGCAGTGATGCTGCTGAGCTGATGGGCAGGTATTTTAATGACAAAGAAAACAATTACCGTACTTTTCAAACTCTTAAGTCGCATCTTTTTGCCTAAATTAGCTAGTCCTGTGACTTATAGTCTGAAACGACTAATTTATGTTTTGATTTCCATATTTATAACCCAATTTTTGGCTGAGATCTGATGATTTCATTCATTCTGACATGGAAAATATTGAACACTACCATTTTCAGCCGCTAGAGGGCCCTAGACTAATACGGCAAGTCAAGTGTCTCATTAATAAGTAAAAGTTGCTATTAATGAGACACTTGGTTTGCCATACCAAGCCACCTTCATCTCGCTCCGGAACTCCTGGAACAAACGTCAAATCAGCTGCATTTCGCTGGCCAGGTGAAATGCAGCTGATGTGACCATTAAAGTGCATTTATTAAGGAAAGGTTCAACTGAGACGCACCTTTAATATCCAGCAAACAAATAATTGTTTTTAGGTGGTTATTTTGTTAAATTTTGAAGAAATGCACAGTGAGTTATTTCTCTGCGCGCTCCCGCCTCCGCGAATCTGCTTTTGAAATGCAGCTGATTTGACCGTCAAAGTGCATTTATTAAGTAAACGTTAAACTGAGACACACCTTTGCTATAATGTCAAGCAAGCAAATAATTGTTTTTAAGTGTTAATCTTTTTAAATTTTCATTAAAGTCCTTCCGTGCGTGCTCCTGCGGCCGCCATTTGGCAGCCAATCGATTTTTGGCGCAACACCAGCCCACATTTCCGGGTTGTCAGCGGTTATGCATAATAGATGCAACTTTACAGCGAAGCAACGTATTTATGTTTTTTTTCCACTTTATTAGACATATTTGGACTTATACGGCGGTGCAACCTGTACGGGGGGAAATACGGTATATATCTTAAATTTGACTATAAATTATAAAATAAATGCTTTTTGTGCACTTCTAAATAGGAATAAACAAGATAAAGTTTTAATATGTTCAAGTCTAGGACTCCTAATTTAATCAAACAAATTAAATGCAGGCCAAATTATTAAACGGTTCTTCTTTCATTAACCTCATCATCACTTTAAACATCTCATAAGTTCTCATTAACCCTGATTAGGCTTTTTTGTTTGTTTTCTTCAAATAACCATTCATTAAATGTTAAATTTTCTTGCTTGGAACAGCTGCATTTTCCCCCTCCTCGCTGCAGCTTAGCCAGCCCCCTCCACAGACTAATCAGTTTCACAGAAATTGCCATTAAGGCGAGATGGAAGGGTCTGACACCACAGATGGCAGCAGCCCTTTGCAAATGAGCTCTGATTACGAGAGGTGGCAGGTTTCACTCTTCTCATCATCTCTGCCTTTCACGCCATTAGGCAAACACAGTGCGAGGGTCACAACACCTGAAGACATTTACATGGAAGATTTCACCCAGCTAAGTAACCTTGAGGTTTTTTTGTGCACTGCTGCGCAAATGGCCCTTTGGCTTCGTTTAGTTAAATTTTGACAATCTCATTTGAGCTCAGATTGGCAAAATCGCAGTATTCAGTTAGGTATCGGATCATTATTTTTGGCTCCTTCTTCGTACCAGGTGTTGTTTCACCCAGTCTTCGCACTGGAAATCAGTCTGGAAATGACATTGGGTTTCTGCTGCTGTGCCTCCATCGATAGTTGAAAGTCTAGCTCATCTCAAAACTGGTTTCTCGCTGACTGGGAAGCTCTTTGCTTCTGCCACTCTTAAGGAAAGGGCATGGCCTAGAAAGGCAGGTTTTATTGATCTATTATCCACTGAAGAAGAGAAATCCAGGAGCTTAGTTCAAACACTTGTTCTCTGTCGTTTCGCTCATGTGAAGCCCCTGTAACACAACCTCTGTCCCAGCTGCTGCTTGACCTATATTAGCTCTTGAAAATGTGTTTTTCCTCTTGTTCAAGTACAATAACAAAATGCTTCTATTAAAAAATGCTTTTCTTTATTGTTTTGAAGGTGTGAGACGACCTCCAGAGCTGGAGAGGACCAATCACAGTGTCCATTACACCCTTCTGATAGCTTGTGTTTTGGTGGCCTTTGTTCTTGGAGCCTTTGTCTCTGGATTTCTGGTCTCGTGCTACTGTAACCACACAGGCCACAAGACAAAGAAATTGTCCAAAGATCCTGAAGCCTCGATCCCACATGCGTTGTCGCTCCGCAGTCTGGCAAAGCTCAATGGTCTCCTGGACAGCCAGAGTAAGGAGGACAAGGAGCTGTCGTCTCCAAAAATCTACAATTCATTTTTCACTAACAGCAAAGAGCATCACGCACCCAGGAGAAATATCCACCATGGAATGACAATGGGAGATCTGGTTCACCCTCACAATCATCACTTCCACACCTCCTCAGAGCTGTCTGGTCTGCCTACACCAGACTCAACCCCTGAACTGCCCATCAAGAGTATGAAAGCCTTTAAGAATCAATGGGAAAAGAACCAGAACTGCAACAATGCTAAAGAACCAAAGTCTCATAACATTGGCTCCAGGCCCAGTTCAGCTCTGCTTCACCAGCAGGTCTACCCTTACTCCCATGGCCTGTCCAACGGGCAGCCAGTTGGTCACCTGCATCCAGAAGAACGTAAAATTCACAACGTTGAGCGCGTTTTATCACAGCCTTACCCCAGCTACTCTCAGAAAGTGATGGAGGTAACATCGCTGGATGAGCTTCTGAAGCACATCCATGATGCAAACGCCAGCAAAACCTCCCAGTTAATGAGCCCATCAGGCCTGATGGCCACTGGAGGAGGAGGACAGCTCGCCTTTTCCAACAGAATTCAACCACATATTCCCGAGACAGAATCAGCCCCTTACTACAGCTCCTCTACTTTACCCCGGGACAGTCTCACTCGTCGCATGGACGTTCCTCCTGACATCCCCTCGCACCACCAGTCCACTCTAGAGAGGAGGCACTCCTCCCAGCGGCAGTCACTGATCGCTGCGGCTACCAAAATGCCCAGTGTGGGTGCAGTCGGAGGAGGAATGATCCCCCGGCAGCACAGCTTCAACCAGCGGAACGGTGGGCCTCACCAACCACCTCTCCTTCTGGCACAGATGAACTCGACAGGCAGCACTTGTGAGGTTCACTATCCTCTCATCCCAAATGCGTACCTGACACGCCAACATAGCTATAACGGAGAACAGCTGGAGGTCCAGCACAGAGGTGCCATTGTCCGCCGGGCATCCTCTCTCAAACCTGATGTCCCTCCTAAGCCTCTGTTCATACCAGCTACATCTCCAGTCAATGAACAAGGAAAATTTAACTACTGAATAGATAAACGTATCAAGGGTTTTTCCCTGATTGTGTTATCGTTAAGAAACTTCATTTTGAAGACCTTGTGGATTTGAGGTTGCAGACTCTCATTGGTCGACAAAACAAATTGCGTGGTAGCAAGTCTCACTGTGGACAAAAGCCTCAACCAAACTTATTCCTCTTTTCTTTTTGTCCAACAAATATCTTTGTACCATATTGGTATTGTTCAGCTTCTTGCTTATTCTACGACCACTGACTCAGGTGACATGATGCCACCTCAATATTTTAGGCTGCCAATGTCCTCAGTGTGGATTTACAATATAACTGAGTTTTTGGACAAGTCGATGTTGGACGTACTTGGACACATCTTAAAGACTCAAAAGCCGAAGGCTCCTGCAATGCTTCAGTTCATGCTTTTGCTCAACCTTTTTTGATGTAGTGTTTGTATTCAGTGCCCACACACCCCTCCCTCGAATGTGTTTATATTATGCATGTGTGTGTGTATATACAGTATATGTGTGTTTATATCCACACCGTATATGTATACATATACATATGCAGTATTTGTAACCTGTGGTGAAAAGTCGGCAAACTCCCCTGACAGTAATGTCTTTGCCTTACTATACTTTGCTTTTTGAGGCATACCAAACCTGCTCCCCAAAAATCATCTCGAGACACCAGAAACATGCAGTTCATCAACCACATTTGTCAGCTGGCTAAGAAATAGGGGTGCACCGATAAATCGGCCGACCGATTTATCGTGCACCCCTACTAAAAACCCTTTCTTCATGTTGATACAAAGAGAATATTAAACCATAGCTTCTTTTCTTTATTTCTTTTCATCGGAAGTGGAAAAACTTGGGTCCATTTAGGTTCCACGAGATTTTATTTTTCTTCTCAAGATTGGTGCTTACAAATCTGGTGGATCGAATATCCTCCCATATGAAATAAAAAAATAATGTTGTGTACTTTTGGACCTAAAGAGGACATGACAAAAATGCCATACGGTGTTATGAGAGTGAACATAAAATACAGAATGGACTGCAGTTATTCTAATTATTGACGTTGTGGCTATTGGTTGTAAATAAAGGAATAATTACTAGCCAAATTTTAACTGTATGTGTAAATGTGTGCCTTATTTAATAATAGTGTGTCACATGGGGGTTAATGCAAGGGGCTCAAACGGCTACTATGCTACAATATATTGTAGGGGTTTGATTTACATGGTTGTCAGTATTTGTCATCTAATATCTAATTATCTGAAGCGTTTCATTCCAAAACATCAGACATCAGGACATTCATCACCTGCGCTTATAGAATAAAATGTTTTTTTACACATTTCACCAAACAAATATAAAAATCACATTTGGTTTCATGTTTTAAATGTCAAAATTTTATATATTTCCAAAATCAAATTGTTTTGGAATGAGACCCTTCATTTATCTTTTTTTTTTTCTGCCTTTCATCCCAAACGTGCGCCCACAGATGTGTCTGAGGGCGTGTTGGACGAAGCTTGTGCACAGACTGAGATTGCAAATGTCTCTGTGTTATGTTGCTCTTCACTGGGTGTCACTTTCTCAATAAGTGCCATTACACTTTGTATGTTTCTTTTTTTATTTTCTTGAACGAGTTTCTAAAGGAGAAGTTCACAGTTCCTCCAAGTCGTGATTTACGGCCTGTAGTTGTTGCAAAAATTATGTTTTAACAATTTTACAGAACAAAAAGTTGAATTTTAATTTGGTTTAAATTCTTTGTGTTCCAGTTTTTTTCTCTGGTTCTAATTTAGTAATTGAAGGTGATGCTGGGCCTCTGCACTGGCTACTTTTAGATGTTCTGGTTTACCACCAGGAGCTGGGTGCTGCGGTCCAACAGGTTTAGATCTAGTCTTAGATCGACTCCTTACACGAGCTGGAGATGTCGAGGATATTCTGAGATGACGCCAGTCGTTTTTGTCTCGCACGTATCACCCCTTCAAAACATCTGCTACTGCACTTTACAGAAGCATTACTTCAAGGTCATGTCAAGGTTAATGAGAGCGATGATCGCCTGTGAAATCAGCACTAAAAGCTGTTGACTGGATCTGAAAACACCTTTAATGAAATTTAAATTTCCAAGAGCTCATTTGACCGAGACTAAAATTGACAATTTAAGGTAAAATGAAGGAAATATTAACTCTAAGAGTAAAAGTTTATTTGAATATTTTCATGAAGCAGACCATAAAACAGCCGTTCTCCAAAGAGGGGGAACTAAGATTTTGTTAGAGGAATTGTGGCAGCTACATTGGTATTTTTTTACCCCGCAGGCCACAGATTTAATGAAAAAGGGGCATGTGTCACCTCTGAAAGCTCTGTCAGTATTTGATTTTGTGTAAATACATTATCTCTGGGCGGGATTTCATTTCAGTATTGTTTTTCTTTGTTCATTTTCCAGGCTATGCCTCGTGACTTATATTAATTTGGTCTCACAGAGTACTGATGTATGTCTCTTATACTAGGAATCAATAAAATTTCAAAGATGATGCATGTGTCTCGGTGAATGTGTCAGAATAATGAATTACAAAAACCGTGTACTTTTTATACGAATACAAATTTTGACTTTTAGCAAGGCATCTGCAGATTTAATAATGTGGACACTTTTATTTCACAGGGATCTGCATTTGATGCAGTTGATCACAATATTCTATTACAGAGACGTGAATACGCTATTGGAATTACAGGAATGGCTCTAAAATGGT